GCTAATAACATTCATAAATCATTAGTCAGTGTATGTGAATGGCTGCCTTGTTTGATATGCAGATGGCTGGTGGGGATTGCATCTGAAGGCTGGGGAATGGCATGAAACGGTGCGACAGCCAGACTTGATTTGCTCCGCTCATAGAGTGATTGATGCGGAGATTGTTTACACACGCAGCCAATCTTTCCCAGCGCGTGTGCATCTGCATTTCTGTGCGTACAGGTGTGTTCCCGTTGTCATTGTTCCTTAAGTATATGTACATATATACGGCAATCTGTGTACACACTAGTGTTTATTTGTCTGTCCATCTGAGTCCGACTGCATGTACGGCTCTGAGCTCTGGCTCTCAGCACCCTGACTCCTCATTTGCAGTCCTTCCTGCCTCCCTCGCTCCCCATCTCTCCATCCATCTCACTAAGGGTTTCACGCTTCTAACCGTGAAATTCACCCACATTCACAATTATGTCTTCAATCAGAGCCATCTCAAAGCTAAGGATGCAGCCTTTCTTTGGGAACGGCAGGAGATCCAAATCAACACTCAAAAGACCGCGCAGGCTTACTCCTGTCCCTGCTCTCTACCCTAATCACTGACAGATTTTTAGGGATGGGAGCAGTCGAGTTCGGAAGGCTTTTAACTTGCAATCAGGTACCACGGGCCCGCATGCTCCTCAGCATGTTGATCCTTTGGCAAACCAATATGATTGCAGAAATTGAATAATTCATGGGTGTCTAATGATGTGTCAATCACAGATGGTTTTGTTTTATTTATTGCACGCCATGCACAGGTTTGTGCGTAGTCCCATCTCTATTGCAAGTTAATATTGCATGAAGACTGTTAGCAACATGACACTGAGTAGAGCAACTAGCTTTTCTCATCAGGGATGGTGTGCTGTTTTCTAACAAGTCTGGAGGAGAGGAGAGCAATTTACCAAGAGCATGTTCGCTCTTTTTTTGACATCTTTTCATACTCAAATGACCCTTTTTGAATAGCAGTACATAAAGATGTGCCCTGGAAATCTGCGGCTCTTTATTGTACATGCTGTTTTTCCGGTTAATTTAATGGCACATTGGTTGTTGTTGTTGTTGTTGTTGTTGAATAAGCGTCCCTGCTCTGTGTATAGTTATTCAGGCGTTTGTCATATAGCGCTGATTGCCAAATGTATGTACTTTCCATCCCCCTGAAGGTTGTTGAGCTCCACTCTAGCGTGTAGCCTTGCTCTGACTCAACCGATGCCTTCATTCCAACCTGGACCCATCTCTCCTCCATGTATTTATTGTGTTAAAAGTTTTCTTTTTGTTTAACGTAAACTTCTCGACCAGGGTTTTTTCTTTACGTTTCATAAACCTTGGCTTTGTCTGACACAAGAGGCAAATCATAAAGCCTTGAAGACCTTGCAGAGAAATGCATTAAATGGCTCCCAGGAAGTTTCATGAACCCAACCATGACCAAGAACATACAGCGAGATTGAGTTTCCAGCGGGAGGCTTCATCACGCCTCGCGCTGCACACAGCTGAAGTCCTCTGTGGGCGGCTCGGTGAACTGACAAGTCCTTAAGTACTTGATGTCCGCGGGGGGTGTGCAAGCTGGGTTGCCAGTCACCCAGAGAAAGGTCCCCTTCTGTGGGGCGCCAGCGGTGGGAGAGACCCCGTGTTGCACTCATAGAAAGAAGAGGCTGCATCTGCTCTTTGAGTTGTGGCGTGGCAGGGGTTTGCCTCCTGGCTGCCCGTGTCAGCGCTCTGACGGGGATCCGCTCTTTTGTCTGCAGGCAAAAAGGAGCTGTCAGGCAGCCAGAAAGAGGAGACCAAGGTGGGTCCGGTGCATTCAGACTCACACATTGTGCCCTCCACTCCCAGAACTGCATTTTAAATCACATCTTGCATGTATACTGGCAGCTTTTATCCATGCTACACACAGAAACTTGGAGATGGAGGTACTTTGCCCATTTCAGCTCCCTGCCCAACAGCACTCTCTTTTGGAGGGAAATAATCAGCAGGGCGATGATGCTAATAATAACGGAGCGCCCCGCCGCTCTGCGGCCCCATGTGGTCGGGGCCGTGCAGCGAAGAACTTAAGAAAGAGGGAGGGCGAGAGAAAAGTAGCGAGCCAAGAAGAGTTTAGCAGTGCAGAGCGGGCAGGAGAAGATGAGAGCAGAGTGGAGATGCAGAGGCCCCCAGGTGGGCCTGTGAGCTCCGCACAATCAGTCACACTGCGCTCACTCTTCTCCCCTGAAGCCTCTCTACACCAATAATGAAGTGATGAGCTGTTGTGCATGTCTTTAATATGTCTGCGGGTGTTTTTTACTGTTTAGATCTTCCCCCATACTAGGTCAGACAGTGCCTAGGGCTCCTTGTGGTTGGAGAGGGGTGGTGGTGGTGGTGAATATGGGGTTTGGGGGGCTGCGTGGCCGGCCCTAGTAGCCTTGCAGTATGGCACTGTAGTCGGGGACAACGGGCTCCCTGAGCCCCCCTGCCGAGGCGGTTCCCCCCTGCAGAGCTAATCCCCTGCTCCTCAGGATTAACCAACTTCACAGCGCTGGCCCCTACTGCGCTGTCAAGGCACCGGCTCACCCTACAACCTTACCCCCTCCACCACCCTCCTCCTCACGCACTCACATACACACTCATTACCCCTCCATAGTACCCCTCTCCCCACTGAAACGTCAGTGTGTATTTCTTCTCCTCTCGTCTCCGTCTCTCTCCTTTCCTCTGCATGTTATAATTATCCTGATTGCTTTACATCAAAGCAAACCGTTTTCTAAACCATGCTGCTTTAAGCTGCTGAGTTTGAAACATTCTTAATATATATTTACTACATGGCATCCATTGGATTCCTCCCATTCCACCACAACATCAAACTATTTTAGCAAACTCTACATTTTTTCAATTTTAAGTAACACTTATGAGGTAAATAATCACATGACATGAACCACTTTATTAGCACTAAGGCTAATTAATAAAGTGTAATTTGTCAAGTAGATATAAAATGATATTTGAGTCAAGCTCCTGAAATCTGAGGATGACCTACCTGCAGACAAATTGAAATGAAACATAATTGGTAGCTGCTGCCTTAAGTGATCCATTAACGAGCCAATCTTTAAGTGGTCAGCAAAAACAAAAAACGATGAAAAAACCTACCGTGCTCCATCTGAGTGCTTTATGTACTCTACCTGTTCACATCTGAGTTTTCAACTTACATTTAAACGGTTACAATAAATAGCTACCAAACAAGAATGTGTCCTTTTAATGTGGGTAACAAAACCTGTGTGTATCACGCTGTATGTGTAAGCACAGCCAGCTCCATGGAGGTACTGTGTGATTTTGAGGCTCCAGGGCTGAGAGAGAGTGGGCCCAAATCAGGCAGATCATCACGTCTATTTCACATTTCTCTCTCTCTCTCTGTGCCATTTCGCCTCCCTCTATCCTCCCCCCGGTTTCCTCTTTTAACCACTATCTCCCACCTCTGTTCCATTGCTCCCTCCATCTCTTTACAGTGCCGATTACGTGGGCAGGAGATGATGGGTGTATTTGGGGCCTTCGAGGCTGTTGATGTCCAATACGTCTGACATGCTCTAGCAAAGACATTGTCTGCTCTTCCTCGTCTCCTAATGGGCGCTGAGCAATCGGAGATATGGAGGTAGATGATGCAGAGAGTTATAGAGAAACATTGGAGAGCCGCGGCAGGTGTGCCCAAGGATGGTATTATGGGAAAGGTAGAGAGAGGCTGCAGCTAATGATAAGTAGGAGCTGTGTGTGCTATCACCTCCCTGATAATCGACGGGCTGGCACTTTGGACAATTTCCAGCCTTTACCAACAGGCAAGTCATTTTTCTCTCGCCTTCTTTCGGTGCCTATTTCTACCCTCTTACTCTCTAGTTCACATCCCTCTGTGTCAAAACAACACATAAAAAAAGTTCTATTCTCTCTCACATCAGGCTGCCACCTAGTCCCCTGGTCGTTCGCGCCATCAGTCAGGCGGCAGCAGTGTGTTACTGGCTAATTATCAGTGGTTAGGGTGTGACAGATGCTGCAGAGATGGTTGGCGTTCAGTCTGCCTTCCCCCCCTCCCCCCAAGAGGAAGCAACAACTGACCTTTAGAAAGCAAAGCCCTGGCAAACCATCGCAATATCCAGACACCGCACCCAGGGAGGGATTGACACTGGAGGTAGAAGGGTTAGGTGTGTGTGTGTGTGTGTGTGTGTGTGTGTGTGTGTGTGTGTGTGTGTGTGTGTGTGTGTCTGAGAGCATAGATCAGGGTGAGTGCTGAATGTGTCTCAAGTATCTTCTTAATCACCTAAGGCCCTCAGTGTGTGTATACATGAGACCAGACACATCTCCAAGTACAAATGTACACAAATTGATTCCCACCTATTGATTTTTAGCGTTTCTTTCCTGCGCCGCTCAAACAGTGTTTGTTTCTCTGTGAGTGTGTGGACAAGTGAATGTGTACGTTAGTATTTGTATCATGTGTATAAAGAGAGCATAAGATAGCTGGGTGGGAACCGTACCAATGGCAGCCCCATCAGTCTCAGTAATTGAGTTATACTTTCCTATTTAACTCAGTGGTTTCCTGTGAGAAAGCGGGAACTTTTCTATTTTGCATTGAGTTTATATTTCCCGACTGATTATTGACTCTGGAACAGCCAAGGCATGCTGAATTCAAAGCAGCAGACTTATAATGTAGGCTGGTTGTGTTTATGTACTATCAAGGTTCCATGAAAAGTTGATTTTAAGTGGTGCCATTGCTACTGTATATATTCAAAAAGAAATCACCTCACCTTGAAAGCAATATCTATGAAATACTTAAAGGTCAGGCAAAATGCCACAAAACATTTTTCCTGTTAGTTACAGCAGCACAGGGGCGTCTGAAAGAGTCTTTGATTCAATCTTGGCTCTTTTTCACTGGCGGAAAGCTTCCCTGATGGCTGGCTTACACCCATCTCTTTCCTCCTTTTGTCCACCCCAATCATCCTGTTCTTCCATCCTGTTCCTTTGTCCTGTAGGTGTAGCGGAGGTGATAGTTCTGGTGGGGGGGCGCCAGGCGATCGGGATGAACCAGCGCTCCCTGACAGCAGTCACCTGTTTTAACCCCCAGAGCAGTAAGTGGTACCCACTGGCCAGCCTGCCCTTCTACGACCGCGAGTTCTTCAGTGTCATCTCGGCAGGAGACAACATCTACCTGTCAGGTGAGTCTTATCCGCCACTCCTGCAGCACAATTGTAGCTTTCTAGTTGCAGTCATTTAGTGCCCAGAGTAGGAGGACAGTAGTAACCTCAGTGCAGCAAGGAAATGTTACACCCCCATGCAGAAGCCTTTCAGACTCAACTTGGAAGTAAAGAAAACATACTATTGTTCATCATGAAATACCTGCAAAACTAATCGGCCTTAACTGTAAAATGTACTTGTTAATTAGCAAATCTAGCATTGGTGGATGTAATCATGCCACCATTGTAACCTTTGCTAAACATTAACATGTTAACGTTGTCATTGTGAGCATTATAACATGATATTGTGATGGTAAAACTCTGCAATTTTGCTCAACATACCTTTGAGCTTCAATCATGAAACACCCAATCACTTTTTGGTAGGAGGGCTTAAGAGCCGCCTTTATTTATAAACCTTCAACATAGAGGCTTCATAGTCCATACGAGACAACAAGCTTTATTGCTCCCTTCAACTTTGACAAAGGAAAAGCAAACAAGATCCGCTTTTCCGTTCTTACCTTTCACAATAAAAGCCCTATACGACCTCTAATATCTTTGCGGGCACGTATACCACGCATTCGGTTTTTTTAGAGGTGATGAATAGGAACTCCCTCACATTTATAGGGCAATAATTGAAAAAACAATTACAGATAAAAAGATATGGTTTGGGAAAAAGCAAACCATGGATTCCTGATGTGTGGCCTCTTTTGATTTGAAGTTCCTTTCATAATACCAAATCTTGACCAAGGTCTCCACTCTTTGATTCCACAACTCTAAGTGAGGACATTTTCACTTTGTTACAGATATATTTCAACACAGTGAGGCTACCTAAGCCATTGCCAACTTTTTGTGACCTTTTGTGAAACATTTTAAGAGTTTTAAAAGGGTGGCTGCCCGCAACCCTTTCTCATATGTTGCTTTGAAAACGTAGTTCTATCAAACACTGCAGACAACTGTAATCCTTTTTTTAAGTATCTGCTATTAACCTGCCATGGAGCATTTCTTTGAACTTGACATTTTTCTCTGTGTGTCTCTACAGCGGTTCAATATTCTGCAGTTTTGTTTCATAGTGGCACACTGTGCACTCAGTGACTCCCTCTATGAGGCACCTTTAAGTTGTTTCTCCAGAGGTAGACTGAATTTCTTCCTCCACGGTCCATTTGTGCAAAAATCCTGCACGGTACTCAGACCTTGACATTGCACCGTGAAAATGTTGCAGGATTTGTCCTGCGTTTAACTTTCCTCTCCCTCTTTTCATATAAATGTAAATTTGTGTTTGGGCATTGGAACAGGTATGCATGTGTCCGCTGGGAGTCAAGACAGCCAGTGGGGAAATCAGAGTACTTCGAGCAAGCCAATCAACAGGCTCCGGTCTGTAACCTTCCTCACTCTCTGAGCAGGGTCACTGAGTCACAGCTAGTGTTACATGTCAGACTACACAGCTAACAGGGCTGCTTCGAAGAGAGCTGAAACAAGTACAGTCTTAATGGTTGGCTGGTCCACTAGTAGTCATCACAGCGGCATACAACTTCTGGTCAGTTGGCCAAGTGGGTCACTCGTTCTTTAAAATCCTTAAAAAACAAACAATATAGGTGTTAAGATTTCAATATACAACCTGATGATTTTAAAGTCAATAATTGATTTCTACGTTTAGATGCTTGAATGATTTAAAATGCTGTCTTACTGTGTGAAAGTTGCTTGGATAGACAGGCTTCTTCTATGGGCTTTGTGCATTTCTTTATGGATTGAGCGTTATAGTACCTAGGCCTAATTTATGATAAATTAAACAAAAAGGAAATCTCACACACAAGTTCCTTTTGCACTCTATGAATAAGCTTTCAATATCACTTTTTTTCAAACATCAAACAAGGAAATAAATATCCGCCTGTCTTTTGTTTATATAAATATTTAACTCACCCAGTCCTTGTTAATGAAGCAGCACACAATGGGAATCATCTGTGGCTGTTTTTCTCTATTCCAAACCCAGGTTAAGTAAACTCAAATTGCTCAAAAGGTTCTTGGTTCCCAGGGAAAATATAATCACCCTACACACCCACTTGAATAACTGTTCTCCTACTGTACATGTTTTCAGGGGGCACAGAGTCTGGTGTGATGGTGGCTGATGTGTGGTGCTACATGTCACTGCTGGACAACTGGAACCTGGTGTCCCGTATGACTGTGCCCCGCTGCAGACACAACAGCCTGGTGTATGACGGCAAGCTCTACACCATCGGAGGACTGGGCGTCTCTGGTAACCTGGACCACGTGGAGAGGTAAGCTTGACGCAAAATCAACAGCAGTCAATCTCCAAACAGCAGACACCTGCACAGTCCCATACACCTGTGAATGATTCTGCAAGCGTAGGTGGATGCTGAGCAATCCAGTTTGAGCAAACACATTTTCACACTGCACAGCGAAACGTGGCAGAGGGCGTGGCATGCAGCAGTGCGGTGCAGCATATTGCAAAAGTGGTTGGACAGGTTTGTTAGGGTTTTTCTGTGAGAGCAAAGGTGCAGAGGACCGAATCTGAGCCGGAGCAATTTAAATGGTCACAGCTGCGAGTGTTGTTACGGAGCGACCGAGCCCCTCTTACTATCGTTAGATTGGCGCATCAGGGAGAGGATTCGCTTTTTGAGAGTTGAGTGGTGTACTGTGTCTGATTCCATCCACTTCAGCATCATCACATCACTTCAACTGAATGTCGTCAACTGTGGCCCATTCAGCTTGGGTTTTTCTTCTTATTTTCCTCCTGTATTTGTATTAAGTCTTCAACATTCAATCCGACATAGAGAAGTCTTCTTGCCCTGTTTTGGATTTCTAGAAGCACAGAACATGAGTACATATCGTGTAGATTCAATCATTTGATTCACATCGTCTGATTTTTGTAACATGTTTCTTTCCTGTAACCTGGGCTGAGGAGTGGGTTTCAGCAGACGGAGGGAGGGGGCTACCTCCCCTGCACGGCAGAGCGAGATTAACCAAAGCAATCAAAAGAACATTACTGAGTATATTAGAGCAGGCCGCTGCCGCTCATTACCTAGCGTCTCAATTGATCTCCAAAGCTGTTCGCAATGCACAACAGTACTCCAAATGAAACAGCCTAATTTGATATTTCCCCGTAATGCTGCCACACAGTGTCGTTATGACAGGGGGTAGATGGAATATTTGCCCCGTAATGGAAAAGCATTTGATTCCTCTGTCTCTGAGCTGCTTAATTTGAGAGCAACCACCGCATCTAGGGCATTTGCAGTTCAGAAGAAATCAGCGCTTCACCCCATGATGCGTTTGTATGTGTTTCGCCGTCTTTGCCCTTGTGTGCTTTCTGAGCAATCACAAAGCTTCTCCGAGGCCCTTAGCAACTGGACTCAATTATCAGCTTGGTAAAACCTTAACCTACTTTGCCTCTCTCCAAGAACTGCCAGAGGCCTCCTCTGCTTGGTATTACTGCCCCAGTGCTGCACTCTCGAAGGTTGCGCCGGCTTGGGAGAAATAAAGCGCTCTCCTAACAAAATAGTTGAACTCTTAATGGTGAGGAGGAGAATGCATGGGGCTGTGTCTGAAGCAAAAACATATATAACAAAAGGCTGAGGTCGTATTCAAAGGCCTTATGTAAAAGCTAACAGGTCTCTCAACTTGTTTCGGAAAATTTGTCAGGGCAGTCAACAGGCCTGTTTCTAAGCAACCGAGGCTTTTATTTAGTCTTTTTCAGAAAGCACTATGTGGAGCGAAAGTCAAAATATAGTTAAATGGTCTAAAGACTCTCTTTCTTGGAAAGAATATAAAATACATGAAGGTTTGTGCTTTCAGAGAGGGTGAAGATATATGGGAATATTTTCTCACGGGAGTTCCTGCTGATGTGCTATATTAAATTGCCAGTTTTGTGTACATTTTCTTTTATGATAGTGATAGCAAATGCATTATTCATTGGTTCAGATTTCCATTTAAAATGTGGTGTCCGTATTTTGATTGGTCTACCTTTTTATTTTGAAAAAAAAGACCTGCTGTAAATGCCTCTACCATCGACTTTGTTGATGAATTGTAGAATAATCATCTGGTAAATGCTGGCAGTGTGGGCTGCATGCATCCTGATGGAGACCAGAATATCAAACTACATTCAATGTGGAGAGGGGCGACAGCTGTGACACGGGAGAAAAAAGTAGATTTGGTTTACCGTTAAGTGTTTTGGAATAAGCGCAAGACAGAAACAGGACCAATAAATATTTTAATATCTATAGATATATGCAACTAAATAAATGTAAATTACTGTTATGATAAACTCTCCCACTTGTATTTAAAGGTCCCATGTCATGGCCATTTCTACTGATCATAATTCCATTGTTGAGTCTACTAGAATAGATTTACATTGTTCAATGTTCCAAAATGACATTGGTTTCTCCTGCAGCATCTCTGTATAGTATGTGTATTCACTCTGTCCTAAACGGCTTGTTGGCGCTCCTGCCCCCACTCCCTCCATATGAGCCCACTGTGTTCTGATTGGTCAGCTCGCCCACTCTGTTCTCATGAGTCCACCAACGTTACAGCGGAACATCAGTGTTTATGNTGCGTGGTGTGTGTGTGTGTGTGTGTGTGTGTGTGTGTGTGTGTGTGTGTGTGTGTGTGTCCGTGTCCAAGGTGAAACTGCTCGCATCAGCAAGAGATAAGTGCCGACACGGTTCAACTTTTGTCTTATTGTGTGTGTAGCAGTAAGCATTGTCATTTATGGCAAAATTGGAATAATTTATTAATGGGCCCTATTCAGGGGAGCCAATGAGAACCCCTCTTGCTGAAGACCCTCTTTTCTTAACTCGTTTTTTTATTGATGAAAATGCTCTTAGTTTTCTCTTTTTTAAATCCATTGAATGCATATTTATTATTAACCCTCCCCAGAGGAGGTTATATTCTCAGTTTGGGTTGTGAATGGGTTTCTCTTGGAAACATTACTGGCCTAATTTTCATAAGACTGTGTGGAAGCGTGTAGCATTGGCCATTGTTGGACCCATCTCATACAATTGTGAATTTTCTTTATTGAAACAACTTTGGTAACGGTCAGAGCTCTTATTGTTTCCTTCTAGTTGAACAAGATTACATGCAAACAGTACAAACATACACCTCTTTGTATGCAGATGACTTAATAAACAGCACTGTCACCATACATACTCGCCAGGAGTGACAATTTTTATAAAAAAACAACAGTGATTTTCTAAAGACACAGCTTATCTATCAGACAGGCTGTTGCTACAGCCACAATCTCCCCTGCAATTTGAGCATTTTTTTTGTGTGTGTGTGTGTGTGTGTGTGTGTGTGTGTGTGTGTGTGTGTGTGTGTGTGTGTGTGTGTGTGTGTGTGTGTGTGTGTGTGTGTGTGTGTGTGTGGCAGTGGGCATTTGTGCTTGGTGTGTACACGTATGTCTGTTATTAACCTGGAATGGGCTGCAATCCATCAGAGTTAATGAGTTGTGTATGTGTGTGTTCTCTAACAGCGATGGCAGTGGAGTGTGTTGTGTGTGTATGTCTTTTGGCTGACCTTGACATCAGTCTGTCAGAGAAACACACTCTTACGCCTTCCATACGGAGAGTGAGACTCCATCAGATCTCCAGATGTCATCAAACACAATCTGTCAGGTGTGTGTATGAGCAAATAATAAGCAAAACACCTGTGCCCTTCAATGAGTGGGATTTGGGAGTTCATGAATGAGGAAGTGTGTCTTAGGTGAAATCAGTAGTCATCAATGTCAAGAGAGCAGGTCTCTGAAAGTTAAAATGTAGGCTAATCATTATCACGTTTTGGAAATTAACATTGTTTTCAACCTGCTACTGTCGCTGGTCTACCACCTACTCATTCCCAAGTCTACCATCCACTCGGTTTAAGTGGTAGAGATAAATGTGTGAGAAAGAATAGAGAATATATTCAAGCAACAATTTCATAATTTGCAAAGTAACCTTATCTCCACCTGCAAGAGCTTAGTGAACATATACAAAATTAGCAGCAACTCAGTAGATTACCATTATCCTTTGGAGTAAAATAAATCTAGCAACTAGTTGCATATTTTACCAGAAATTGGAAAGGGGCTGCTGCTAATTTTCCAACCACCCATTGGACAACATGTATATTGTACATGCAAACTACCAACTCTGATACATAATACAAGAGAGTACAGCACTAGTAAGTCATGCCATGCGGTAAAAGAAGAACAACTGCTGTTTTGTCTTCTCTACAATCCCCAAGATGAAGCCACAATCATGTCAGCAGAATTATGCGATTACAATAGCATGCAAATACCCAAACATTTACATGTTTGAGCATCTCCGAGCCCCTCCTAAGTAAGGAAGGACTCTGTAGATTTCCCCGTCAGACATTGATTAGCAACCCGGGGAGAGAGAACACGGGTACAAACAGCTGTCACATGCCGAGAAAATCAACACGGGGAACAGAGGTGCATACAAACAAGTTCAAATTAGTTGTCACAAAGCTGCTGTTTTTGTTTTCATCTCTGACAATTTGCGCACTGCTGTCTTTTGTGAAATAGAGCGTGGTAAAAGGTGAGTTTGTGAGTGTGTTAATCCTGCCACATTTGACCAGAAAAAAACATCTAGTACAACAGTCAAATTGCATGTTAGATTTAACGCTGAGATCATAAGGGATCTCCAGCACTTTTCCATTATCACTGTTAACCTAAAATACACCTGCTAACTGTTGATGAACAGATGAATGACCACAATGAATGACCATGTGTCTAATCAACCACATACCACAACATTGCATGACTTTATCTTACTACATCTGGTAACAGGCAATAACATAATAAATAGTGCCGAAGCTTCATCATTTTTACTGACTGGCAGTTACATTTGCTCATTAATAAATGTAATACTTGTGCTCGATATCGAATTACTATACTTGTTTGCTCTTTTAAACATTTTATTGTATTTTTTTATTGGGAACACACACAATTATAACCAAGTAATGTTTTACCAATTATTATTATATGTTTTTGATACCAAGATAATTTAATAAGCAGTCATTCAATAAGTGACTTATAACATAATAAGGGAAAAAAGGCATCCGTGTTTTTGGTTCAGAAATGAGCTGAGAAGGTTACTGTACATACCCGCCTTTTTATCAAAGTATGAATCAAGCAATTATTAGCCTACTTTATTGGCAATTGATGCTTTGTTTGGTAGTTGTTACAGTATTTCTCCTACAAGACCAAACACAGATGGCTTCAGACTCTGAGAGGTGCAGTAGTTCCAGTGCAGTTTTAATTGTATTTGAG